ACAATTTCTTCCTTGGCAGTTAAGCGTGTTATTTAAACCATAAACGTGCAGTCGGTCTTCCTCCTTCCTCTACTTCGCGTCAAAGCTCTAGATACAAATTTTTACTAACTTTACAAGTATGTGCTGGAGCAAACTGAAAAACTGAATTTAACTGTTAATCTTGCAAAACTCCCAATCCAGAACTCCTTTTTATTGCGTAATCCCAATTCCAGCGCACAGAAGATCAGTGAGGATGGATCTTTGACATGTAGTAAAAAAACAGCGAAGTTGCCTATATGAAGGAACCACGCAAATTAACTGAGGACTCAATCAGAAGTGTCCGGAAGCAAATCATTTAAAAATTTCTCAAATTTATAAAACGATAGTCTACGCTTTCCACCATCGCAGCAACGTATGGCGGGGCCGAGCGAATGAAGTGCAACTTATTTGAAGGAATGAAACCTTGAGCGGATGCAAATGTGCGATATAGGGATAGGCGACCAACGTCTGATACAATCCATTTAGCCAGCTCGTCAACGCAGCCCAATTTGTACGCCGCCGAAGTACCATTTTTTTGCCAATTTTTTGTATGGTTTTGTCCAACCGTCGCAAAACAAAATTGAGCGCTGATCGATTACCTTCCACTGACCAGTCAGTGACAGGAAGAATCACGGTGAAGTACCTGTTACGAGTGCAGTTCTCAGATCCAGTTAAAAATGAACTCAGTTAAAGTACAGTACGACCCTAAATCAGACAGCAAGTATAAAATCACTGACTAAGATGAAAAACTGTGAAGGAGAATTATGGAAATTTATACTACAGCAAAACGCACTAGAGCATAGCAATCGCTCTTTAAAAAATTCCTCTCCAAAATCCCTTCCTGAGGTGAAAAAAGATAGGAGAAACGAGAATTTTACCACGTTATTTTCTGCTTGATGACAGCTTGGGTATCACGTTATTCATATTTCCTATTTTTTTCAGTATCTTTCAACCACAGCTAAGAAAAATTGTTAACTTTTTGGAAGTTGAGAACAGTTAAAGTGTCTTAGGATATTATCACTTACAAATAGGCCCACTGAACTGAATTCCCTTTTCAAATGAAAACGCAACTTTTTCAAAGTGAATAGCAAATATGTCTGGGAATAAATTAGCAGCTGCAAAAAAACTTACTTTTGCAATCCCAGGCAAGCCATCGTATTAAGATCGTAGGGTGCAACTTTCAACAATGCGAGCGCGATTTCACTCAACTTCTGAATTCAGCAACATTTTTATTGCACCACAGATATTATCAGTAATCAGCACTGCTCCGCAAACAGAGTATTTATAAATCAAATCTCACATATTTTGTTCAAGAATGAAACGCCAACGACAATGCACATTCTTACATAGCTTTTCACGAAAATATTATTAATTTTAACTAAACTGACTAGTTCTTTAAAAAAAATATGGTTCTGAGAAGGGGTCAACTGCACCAGTGAAAGAAAACACGATGATGAAAAAACAACTGACCAAAATACCAACGAAAATTAAAATGCTGCAAAAAGATATTGAAAAAATTACTTACAACGTGACATTTATGATCGAATAATTCAGGAATTTTAACATGTTCTATGTTAACTGATAATTTGATAAGCTCCTTCAGCCGAGGGCTCGCTTTTTCAATGAAGGTAGATGCCAGAACGAGTATAGCATCACGTGGTCGACGGAATGCTTCACGTTGTACTTCCGAACTGTCCGTGCCATCCCATCCAGCTCCACTTTTCTTGTCTTTCACACTACTGCAATTTATAGAAATAACAACAAAGATCAAAGAACCAGGATAGTTTGGATGCCAAGATAGCAACACAGATCCGGACAATAACAGGGGCCAGGGTGTCTTGTCTACAAAAAGAAAATTCGTGAAGAAAAAAACCACTCAATCTTTTCAGGATAAAAGAGTTTTTTTATCCAAAAAAAGCATACGCATAATGCATTTTGCCTTCATCCTCGATCACCGTAGGAGGAT